TGTTTACTTTAAATGTACCAATAAACTTAATGGGGAAAAAATGTTTTGAGAACAATGTTAAAAAAAAATGAATCCATGGGCCAGGGATTTAGCTCAGTCATGCCATTGCCTGCCTCGCAAGCTCAAGGACCCAAGTTCAACCCTCAGTACACATACACACACACACACACACACACACACACACACAAATCCATCTCCCTTATGCTCTCTCATTCTCAGGTGCTCCCCACACATTAACATTCCATTTTGTTATAATGCAGCAAGAAGGCCTTTGTCAGTTGCAGGCCTCATTGGCCTGGGATATCCCAGCCTCCAGATCTATAGGGAATGCATTTCTTTTCTTTACAAATTACAGTCTGATATTCTGTTGTGATAATGGAAAATGGACTAGGACAGAAAGCAAACCTTACAGTTTTAAGATGTACAACTTAGCTTTTAAAGAAGCTCATCTCTAGACTAACAGAAAGGATTCTTTACACTTTTTATAAGCACAACTTGCTAATTACCTAAAGGTAACAATGCCAAAAACGAGAGGCCAAGATGCCTTCAGACTGACTGAGGAATGTCTGCAAACGTAACTTGGGCCCTTAAGGAGAAATTCTTCCCTGCACTATAAAATCATTGTGGAAGACAGGTTCATGCTTCTGCCAAATGTACCCTCAGTGGAACATGATCCATTTGGATCATGAGTCTAGTTCCTCACAGTAATTACAGAAACAAGTTTTGGGTTGAAAACACTAGTTTCCCCATTTGAAATATGAAGCATATTAAAATTATTTGTATTAGCATCCCGTAGAAAATCACAGCATACCTTTGTATGCTATTAATTGAAAAAATATAAAAACATCTCTAGCATAATTCTTAATGTATTAGCAACTAAAAATGTGAGCCAACAGATAAGGTGACTACCCAGAGTTTACTTCTAAGATTTGAAAGACGTGTTTTAATGAAATCTCATTTGAAATAATGAAATTGATGTTATACACTTAAAACCCAAACTTAAAATGACTGAAAAATAGAATATTTATTTAGAGTGGGGTTCTAAATAAACTCTAGACTTATGGATTTCACCAGCTCCTAAGAGGAAAAAAATATATATATAAAAATACATATAATAAGATGCTGCTACAAGTTTGCTATATGATTATTGCGCCAAAATTCCATTAGGGTTTACTGCTTTATAAAATAAACAAGAAGAAATAGAACAGGTTTCCAGAGTCCCATTTCACATATTTTGACACATATTTTTGACACAACTCCTGAGCATGGAGTTTGTTTGTTTTACTTCACCCTATTCCAGAAGCAAATTGAAACAACTTAGAAAATCACATAAATTAAGATGCCAAGTAAAATAAGTAAGAAATAAGGGTGGAGATGAAAAATAAAGCCAAACATCATGCAAAAATGCAAATTCTAAGACCTAATGTGGGTGAGAGGTGCATTTGGCTCTGGTTTGCTATCTACAGAGCAAGAGAAACATGGCTATAATGTCACAAAATAATTACATTTTCTCAGAAAAAAAATCATAACTTTTTTGGACAAAAAGAACAGCCACTATTTTTCAGTATTTTTATGGAGAAAATATTAAATGATTTAATAAGCCATGTCAAATGATACTCTTACTAGGCACAAGGGTTGCATGGCTGGTTCTTAGTGTAGACTTCAATGAAGATGTTATATAAAAAGTACTGTACTACAGCAAGATCTAATATATTATTTTAAGGGTCTGGGATTTTATTCTATGAGCAAACTAACATTCATTGTTCATAGATACGGGTCTGAGATAGAAGACTCCTGGATTAAAGACAAAGGGTAGTTTATAAAAATGATATCAGTAGCTTGAATACTGGCATTTGCATCCCCTACCAAATATCCCAGCTCCTACAGGGGCAACACAGAGAGTTACAGGAGATACCTGCATATGCCATCGATTGTATACATCAAGATTAGGAAATATGAATTTTTTATGACAGGAAGTCACTGCAAATTCTCAGATATTAATTTTGTTATATGAATTAGCAAACAAAATTCTATTTTTCAAGGTTATTTCCAATGCAAGTATTCTTAAAAATATCCTGTGGAACATAGGGAATCAGTTCCTCTGCCCATTGATGGTGCAGAAACACTAGGGACCCTCAGAGAGTTGCCTTCCAATGACTACATTCTATGTCATTCTCAAGCTTATTTGGGGGATTGTTCTAGGACTAGTCTTAGACTGCAGGAATTGATGGATTGTGTCTCCTTTGATGCTCACTTATCATATACTTATATACATATTCTTATATTCTAGTCAGTGAGGGCAGTGATAAACAAATGAGGCATAGCCCCTGTCTTTATGAAGGATTACAGATAAATACTGATATATTTTATGTGCTTTTCAAGCAGTTCTCTAAATGTTTTTTCAAATGTGTTGCTGACAAGTAATTCAGTATTCTGTATCTCACAAGTATCTGAAGCTTGAGCATTTCCAAATAAAGGAGGCACTGTGCCTGCAGGGATATTTGAACAGGGCCAGGGATGGCCTTCTCTAGTGAAACTGAGAAACCTAACACAGTTGCACGAATTATTCTACAGTCATCATCTCCAATGTACACCTGGTCAGACATCAGTTTTTCCTTGAGAAAGCCTAAAATCCTCCAATGATTGTGTGAACCAAGCCCTGAAGATTTATTTCGTGTAAGCAGGCACTTATAGTTCTTATGGAGCATTTGAGTGCCTCTTGTCTAGGTTGGGATTCTGGCATGACAGAGCACTTCTTGTTCTTTGAGAAGGTGAAACATCCTCTCTGAGATGATCCCTTTCTTCAAGCTATTATCTCTTCATGGCCTGAGGAGATCTCTAACACTATCGTGGTCTCCCCTGAATGCTTATTTGTCCTACTAGTTAAGGTAATGCAACCATCTTTTCCTGACAACACAATCAAGGATTTGCCTTCATTTAATTAGCTTCCATTTGGCTCCAAACTACAAATAACAACTGCTAATGTGGATTGCACTTAGTCTGCTGGCCCTGCGGAGGCTGATTCCTGAATTCCATTACCTAACTCTCACAGCAGATTTTCACTTGAAGAGCTAGTCTTCCATTCTATAACTCTGTTGGATTTGTTCCCTCAGAAAACCTGCTGTTTCCTAACACTGTGGCCGCACTGGCTCAGTTTGAAGGTGATGGCACATAGAAGCAGAACTCACAGGGCTAGCTGGAAGACTTTCCAAACTAGGGTTTGAGGGAGCTGCCCATTCAAGTAGAAAATCAGAAATGAGAAAGACCTGTTAAATAACCCAGTCCCTTCCGTGGTCAGTGCCAGAACATTCCTATGATGAGAGTGTAGTCCAGGCCAGCTCTAAATGACTTTAACAATGTTCCCCCTTGCACTTTATTTGGAAGACAGGTTGTCTCTTCAATTTTTTTTCTTTTGATAAATATTTTACCTAGAATTTTATTTGACCAGTATTATTCCATTTCCCTCTTACTGGTTTTGGTTCAGCTATAGCAACCCTGTAAAATAAGTTATTTTCAGAGTTAGTATAAATTTATAAACAATATTTAAAGTACTCTATTAACCAGTCATTCCAGCAGTGTGCCTCTATTTGGGGCAGTATCATGTAGGAGGAGAGGGCACACATTTAAACTGTAGAGGGAAATACACCAGATTAGAATATTTTACTTAATTAAGGACATTGTTATTGTTATTTACTGTTGTTATTTTCTGCAACTGCCATTTAGTAAATTTTTCCTCTGTGCCAGACATTATAGGAAATACTTTATAAACCTTCTGCTACCAAATTTACAAAATCATCTCTATTTAAAAATGTAAAATTTAGTAATTAAGAGTAGAAGTTCTGGGCTTAAATAGCTCAAAATGGCAGCTAGGTTTCTTATTAGCAATGTGACCTTGGGCTTTTGATTTTACTTTTCTGTACCCAGTTTCTCTACTTGTAAAATGATTCTGAGGACAAGGCTTTCCTCATTTGTCATTTTGAGAAATGTGTATATCACTATGTGTAAACTGATAAAACCCATATCTGACATAGAGCAGGCACTAAAATAAAATCAATACAATAATGAGAATTGTTCAAGGGTACCTTGCTAGTAAATAAAATAAAAATTTAAAACTCAGTTGGTTTTATTCCAAATCTGTCTAAATTATTTGTCATTAGAATATACTAGCTTGGTCAGGACGCTTAACTTTTTTGAGCCTCAATTTTTCTTCTTGGTAAAATGGGGATAACACCATAACACCTGCACAGCCACCACAGCAAACGCTACCGTAGGGCCCAGCCCAGAGAGGGGCTCAAAAGATGATAGGGCGATCTCTTCATCTCTACCTCCTTATATACAAAATCCATGCAAGCTGAGGATTTGCTCTTAAATGATTCTCATAATATAAGAACTGCAGTATTCAATGTATAGCTTTATGATTTCACTCCCATTTAAAAGAACTGGATTGATTTACTAGACAATTCAAAAGTTTCCTTCCAAATAAGGTTTTATTTTATATTCTTAATGATCTGACAGTTTTAAGGTATGTATTTTCCAGTTTCTTTAAAACAGTTCATCAAATGTTTCAAAATTGCCTAAATACTTTTTCTTTCATAATATAGATTGGCCATAATTTCAATCTTTATGTAACAGAAGGAAGAAAAGAGTTGTAACTTCATACAGGGAAATGTGTGTTTTTGCTGTTTTGCCTGTGTGTGTGTGTGTGTGTGTGTGTGTGTGTGTGTGTGTGTGTGTGTGTACGTGGGAGAGGGCGTGATGTCATCTTGTCTCCACCCCCTGTGAGTAAGCCCACAGCCCGGCTAAGTGCAGCCGCCTTCCTCTGTCCCTGGAAGACAGTCCACTTACATGCAGCTCCACAGCTGCAAGGCACCCACCAGCATCACTCTCTGTGCGAGGTGGCAAATGCAACATGCTGTCCAGCTTGGGGTGTCTACTTTTCTGTGGAAGAGGGCGTGATGTCATCTTGTCTCCACCCCCTGTGAGTAAGCCCACAGCCCGGCTAAGTGCAGCCGCCTTCCTCTGTCCCTGGAAGACAGTCCACTTACATGCAGCTCCAGGGCTGCAAGGCACCCACCAGCATCACTCTCTGTGCGAGGTGGCAAATGCAACATGCTGTCCAGCTTGGGGTGTCTACTTTTCTGTGGAAGTATTGCACTTGCCCTGGGAAATGCACAGAAATTGCCAAAAGGCAAGTAGCTCTGATGTTTATATTTTAAAACTAATTTTAAGAGATACTTGTTTTTAACTGTTGATAATCTGTTTAACCATGTGGGGGGAATAGTGTTATTCTGTAGAAATTCAGAGTTCAAATGTGTGAAGGGGTTAAACTTTTACCCCCACTCTGTTATTTACTTTTAAATTTCAGCTCTTTATTCCAAAAATGAAAACCAACTTATTGCTGTGTTCATAGGAACTGGAATGGTATAGTGAAAGCGGACACTGTTGTTTGTTAAAAAGATTTATGTGATGTTTTATCTCCCATTCCCAGAGACTAATCTTGTACTAGTTTAAGGGTTAAGAAAGCTAATTCTGAAACCTGAAATACCTGGCATAAACTTCAAACACCTTTTGAGTAGGAGGCTGAGGGAATTGAGATCGGTCAGACCAAAGTTCAGTTAGAGCTAAGTAGTAGATGCTGTGGAGTTCCAAAGAGAGTTTTATCTGCTGGGAGGACACTCCCCCTTCAACTGGCTACATTGCTATTTTAGTGTTGGTATTTTGTTTATAAATGTCATTAGAAGAAAACTAAAATTTCTAAATTTAGACCCTAAAACAACCCCATTGAGACCATCAGCACTAAAAAAAGAGGCTCTTGCCTCTCTCCTATCTTTAAAGGTAAATGTTACATGTACTTTTGTTTCTTTGCACAGTTACTTTTCTAAGCCAACTGTAGGTCTGTGAAGGCTTTTCATGGCTGCAGACTGCTGTAGTCATCAGGATTATGAAAAACATGCTGGAATTTACAGTATAGTTATGATGGAAAATATTGGAAATAATACAGAGCCACAAGCTTGTCAAAAACCTAGCGTGCACTGAGTCAGAAAGAAAATTGTTAATGTTGAATACTCAAAAGATCACTGGTAGCGCCTCTCTAGATAGTTCACTTCAGGATCATCTTGCCTCAAGTGAAAACTGTTCCTTTCTAACTGGATAAAGTGAAACTTGAATCCAAAATGTGAGCGCTGAAGCATTTGGCTAGATGACATTCACGTGATGATGTGAAAAGCAATAAAAAGAAATGCTAAGTAAACCTCGACTTTGCTCAAATAATTATGCAAAGTAAAAGAAAAATAAACACTATTGCATTTCTTCCTTTTACCAAGAATTTTCTTGATCATAGTACAGTGATTTAAATAAATCATAAGCCACTAGCATTCAGAATTAACTGTTCATTTTGAAGAAATAATCACAATATACCATTTGAGAGGAGTCTGGGTTTTTCTCAGTCTCAATACCTGTAGATGATTTTATTTTACTTTGTATTCACTGTTTATGGGGTGATAGCCAAAATTTGGTTAGTGCAAACTTCTGCAAATTCCAGATCCTTTAATTATCATGTTGCAATCACTGAAAACAGATGTCTCAACACTTTGCCTCTTTTTGTGATGGTAAAGAAAAAACAAGCCACATAGTTGTCAAAAATGGCCATAAATTGTATCTATTTCATTGCACTTTAATCTGAAGTGTTTCATCTCTGCTTCTCATGAAGATTTAAAAAATATTTACAGGTTTGGAAATTTGAAAAAAAAACATCAAATTATAATAATTATAAAAATAAATGACAAGTCCCTTTGTTTTTAATAGTACATTTTCTCTTTATTATGGGAACTATTGCGGAACTTTCTTTTAGCTTAAGTCACCCTTTTAAAACTATGTTCTAGGAATTAGGTGCACTACAGAGTGGTGCTCAGGGAGAAGTGATAAACTGTTTTTTCAATAATTTGGAAACATTTGATTGCTTTGTTTTAGGGGCAAACTCACAATAGATGTTAGCATTTTACAGGTTCTGAACTTTTCTGAGTAATGAAAACTATTCAATCTTTTAACTCATTTTTCTTCAAGTTCATTTTATTGAAAATCCCCCTTTTAGTGGAAAAGTTATAATATCTAATCAAGGATTTGTGTGTCACAGACTAGATTTGAACAAATACTGGGCTAAAAAAGAAGAAATGGGATAAAAGGTTTTTCTTTTTTTTTCTACCTTCTAACTTTAAAGTTAGTTAAATACTATTTGTAATTTCAAAAGAGGATTGAATTTTGATCACCTAGTCTAGTAGTTCCAAGAAATTTGAATTTGTAGACTAATAATACATACACATTTTAGTATCAGGTTTTTACTATATGGATCATACCTGAATTTTGTCATGTGAGGATGTTCAAAGTGACAGGAAATCCCTGTAGTTCATAAGAGCAAGATATTTTAGCAGATTTATAAAATAAATGAGTTAAACTACACAAATAAGTTCCTTGTCCTATTTCTTATTTTGTCACAGATGGATAATACTTAATCACAGGCCAATATCTGAAAACCACTGGTCTAGTTTATAAGTGAAGATATCCAAGGGACAGGGAAGTTTACTAATTTTCCCCTGTTAATGGAAGAATCAGGTCTGAATGCTGGGCTTTGGTTCAAAATCCATGTTATACCCTGTTTTCTACTTGGTAAGCAGGCTTGCCCAAACCTAAGCAATCACATTCTGCAGGGTAGTGAGAATCCTATCCTTCCCTTCAATAAAATTGTTTACCATACAGTTTCTAATGATCATCTTAATTTTTATATTTTCCTAAGAAAATGTCTACCTTTTATATGCTTAAATTTGATTATTTATAATAAATCATTTGTTACATGCTATATACCTATTTGCATACCTTGATTCTTGGTTACTTTTTAAAAGCCTAAAGGAGACTGTTATTAATGTAACTTTTCTTCTATCTACCTCTTAATGACTACATTCTTGGAAAATTATTTGCTTTTGCTAAGTCTAATTTTCTCATCTATAAAATGGGCAAAATGATATCTATCTTAGAGCACTATATTTTAGATTTTAAACTGCCCTCCCTTCACCCCCCTTCCCCATTTACAAACACTTTTTTTTCCATTTGATGAAAAGCTTTTTGTAAAGGGTCTGACTCATAACAACTATTTGATAAATATTTATTGAGTCATAGAAAAGTGGCTCAACGTTGAAAATCATGCACACCAAAAAATATATGATCTTTAATCCAAACTATAAGACAAATCTCTTATAAGACAGCAAATAAGGTGGCATGTTGGTGGAAAAGTGGGATCAGATTGTTAAGTGTAGTCCTATGTGACAATAAGGGAAGACATCTACTGTTTTCCAGCCTGCAACCATCCGCCCACATGGGCAAACATTACCTTCCTAGTAAAGTTGTAATTTTTATGTCAGGATTTGTAAGGCTGTACAGCTCTTCTAGGTGAGATCCATTTGAACTTGTCCTTCAGGAGAAAAACTAGAACGCAAGATGAAGGGCCTGGAGGAAAGTTAAACTGATTTATACCTTGGGATATCCTCGTGCTCCTTGTGGAATTTTTATTCTTGGCACCACAGAATTTTCTTCATCCCTGGTGTACTGCTAAAATAAAGGCCATTCAACAATATGGAGTGAGGGGAGACAACAGAATCTTATATTTAGACATCATAATGTATATACATTATGTATGTCATATTCAGACTTGTCATACCGCTGTGCTGAAACTTTTATACCTGAAAGATTATAATTAGCCTGATAGTAAAGGATAGTCAGTCTAGTCAGGTCTATCACCTCCTGAAAAGCATGTGTGAGGAAAATCACAGAGAAGCCTCCAAGATACCAAGATAATCAAATGGCCAGAGGGCATGAAGATCTTAGGTGTGGTTCTTGTCATATAGGGCAGAGGGAATGGAAAGTTGGCTTTTTTGTTTAGGATTTTTATCTAAAAGGGCAGAAATCCTTGACTCTAGGGGTAAAAACAACAAAAACAAAAACCACAGGGACAAATGACATTATAGTAACCATCATAGCTATCAACTACTACCATTGCTGTTGTCATAGACAACATTCTCTGGTGTTTGTAGTATATTAGTGCTATCTATTTTTAATGTGGAAAGATCCAATTAAATTTCTCAAAGTCCCTCTATAAAGCAGTTATCTGATTTCTCCAGTTTTATACTGATAGATCGACTCCCTTTCTGTCCCACCCCACCCCTAGCCACTGGAGATCCTGGAATGGTTGATTTGCAGCTGCTTCAGCTGGGGAACATTGCCTACTCTGCTAGAACAAGGCACACCTGCCCCACCTGCTAGGTCACAGTGCTTGTCGCTGTAGCCACATACTCAGTAATTCTCACTCCCCAAATCTCATGACCCCCTTCATGCCACTATATCTGAGCCTGTACCACTGCCCCCCCCACCCTATCCATAAAAGACCTAGCTCAATAAGTGACTGGGACTCTCCTTTGGATTTATTCCCAGAAATCCCACTTGTATCCCCAAATTCAGGCTGGCTGTGTTTTTTTGGGGGGTGGGTACCGGGGATCGAACTCGGGTCCTTGCGCTTGCGAGGCAGGCAGCAGAACCACTGAGCTAAATCCCCGGCCCCTGGCTGTGTTCTTTTATGGGATCATCACCATTTATCTAGCATATATAGTGCTAGATTATGATTCCAGGTGTTTAGCTAATCCTCCCCAAATCACACAACCAGGGTAGCAAAAGACCCTATCCTTAATTTTGATATAATATCAGTAACATGCTCTATATAAAGATGTACTGATTTGTTTAACTAATACATCAATGTGTCACTCTGATAACCCAGACCTTTTCTCCAAGGGTAGCTACAACTTGTGTGGGACTAAGGAACATATTTTCCTTTTTAAGGCAAGGAAATTGGGACAATAATAGAGGTAGATACAAAGTCTAGTGGATGGAGTTTTCATTTATTAGAATAATATATACTTATATATTGCTGGTACTGTATTAAAGAGTACATTAGAAGAAATAGTTCCACTGCTTAAAAAATTTCAAAAGACCACAGGAGAATTATTTTAGCATCTTTTATAGCTTTACAGTTTCTTGGCAGATTTATTGATGTGTTTATTCAAGCATTGATTATTGACATCTACTCAGTAAAAATAAAATACAGCTGTGCTATAAAAGAACTTTGTACTAGGAATGTGAAGTAATCAA